AATTCTTTTTTTTTTTTTTTTTGAGACAGAGTCTCACTTTGTTACCCCTGGTAGAGTGCCGTGGAGTTGTTGCTCACAGCAACCTTAGATCTTGAGCTCAAGCAATTCTCTTGCCTCAGCCTCCCAAGTTGCTGGCACTATAGGCACCAGTCACAATGCCCAGCTATTTTTAGAGATGGGGTCTCGCTCTTGCTCAGACTAGTCTTAAATCCATGATCTCAGGCAATCCACCCGCCTCAGCCTCCCAGAGTGCTAGGATTACAGGCTTGCGCCACCGTGCCTGGCTCAGGTAGATAATTCTTTAAAGGAACTGAATTCATTGTTAAATCCTTCTGAAAAAGAAATCTCTAGGACCAGATGGTTTCCCCGGTAGAAGAAAACATTAATTCCACGTATCTCTTCAAGGTAATAGAAGAGGAAGGAATACTTAGCCATTTTCTTAATCTCTTTCTTAACCTGATAAAAGGCATATTCAAAAACCCTACCTACAGCTAACACCATAATAGTGAAAAACTAAATACTTTCTAAAGTCAGGAAAAATGCAAGAATGTCTATTCTCACTGCTTATATTTATCATTAAACTTAAAGTCCTAGATAGTATAATAAAACAAAGGAAAAAAAGAAATCCAATAGTCTTCTATGACTTGGGCTAAAAACAAACAAACAAACAAACAAATAAGGCCAGTATGGTGGCTTACACCTGTAATCCTAGTACTCTGGGAGGCCAAGGTGGGTGGATTGCTTGAGCTCACAAGCTCAAGACTAGCCCAAGGGCGATGCCTGTGGCTCAGGGAGTAGAGTGTCAGCCCCATATACCAAGGGTGGTGGGTTTCAAATTCCACCCCAGTCAAACTGCAACAAAAAAATAGCCAGGCTTTGTGGTGGGCACCTGTAGTCCCATCTACTAGGGAGGCTGAGGCAAGAGAATCACCTAAGTCCAAGAGCCGGAGGTTGCTGTGTGTGACCTGTGATGCTACAGCACTCTACTGAGAGCAACAAAGTAAGATTCTGTCTAAAAAAAAAAAAAGATTAGTCCGAGCAAAAGCGAGACCCTATCTCTACTAAAAATAGAAAAAGTGAGGCAAGAAGATCACTTGAGCCTGAGTTGGGGGGTTGCTGTGAGCTATGATGCTATAGGACTCTACCCAGGGCCACAGATTGAGACTCTGTCTCAAAAAAAAATAAATAAATAAAAAAAGAAAGAAAGAAAGAAAGAAGAGAAAAGAAGAAATAAAACTATTCCTATTTTCAGATTATATGACTATCTACATGTAAATTTCCAAGGAACCTATAAAAATGCTCTTAGAATAAGTAAATTTGGCAAGGTCACAGGATACAAATTAACACACAAAAAATCCATTATATTTCTAAATACTAACAAAGAGGAACTGGAAAAAAAATTTATAATATCCCTCCACAAATGAAATACAAGTTGAACATTCCAAACTTGAAATAAATGAAAAATATAAAACTTTAAAACATAAGAGAAAATATTTGTGTTCTGGGGTTAAGCAAAGAGTTCTATTAGATATGACACAAAAAGACCAATCTATGAAAGAAAAACTTGATAAATTATATTTCATCAAAATTAAAAACATTACAAAAGACACTTTGAAGAGAAAGAATAGACAAGAAGAAAATATTTATAAGTTACATATTGGACATTTGTATCCAGAATACTTGAAGAATTCTTAAAACTCAACAATGAGAAATCCTATTAAAAAATGGGCAAGACTTAAATAGATACTTCATGAAAGAGGAAATATGGAAAGATATTAGGTACATAAAAAGATATTCAGCATGAGGGAGATGCAAATTAAAGCCATAAGAAGCTAATACTACATATCTACCAGAATGCCTAACATAAAGAAATACAGGCAGTACCAAATACTGGTGAGGATAAAGAAACTGGACCTCTCACACAATGCTGGTGGGAACACAAAATAGCCACTCTGGAAGTTTGGCAGTTTCTGATAAAATTAAACATACTTTTACCACATGACCCAGCATCTCCACTTGGAGTTACATAACTTAGAGAAATGAAAACTTACATTCATATAAAAACTTATACATAATTTTTTTTTTTTAGACAGTCTCACTATGTCACCCTCAGTAGAGAGCTGTGGCTTCATAGCTTACAGCAACTTCAAACTCTTGGGTTTAAGTGATTCTTTTGCCTCAGCCTCCCAAGTAGCTGGGACTACAGGCACCCAACACAAAGCTGGGCTATTTTTTGCAGTTGTCATTGTTATTCAGCTGGCCTGGGCTGGGGTTGAACCTGCCAGCCTCGGTGCTTATGGCTAGCACCATAACCAGTGTGCTATGGGTGCCAAGCCCATAAATTTTTATAGTAACTTTATTTTTAATCACCAAAAATTGGGAAAAAACAAAACATCCTTTAATGAGTAACTGTAAAACAAATTGTGTCCCATCAATACAATAAAATGGTAGATCCTCTGTAAGCTGACCACCCAAGGGACTATAACAAATTGGTCAAAATATAGAGGTGGTCAACATAAGGAACTAGGCCTACTGTACTGATATGTACATGTGGTACATGTCCAGTCTATGAAAATTAGGTTGACTTAAGGAGGTGGTCAACTATGGAAGTTCTATTGTACTATTTAGCCTCAAAAAGCAACAACATGGATGAATCTCAAAGATACTAATGCTGAGTGAAAGAAGCCAATCTCTAGGTTAGAATCTCCTGTGATTCTATTGATCTGACATTCTGGACAAGGTGAATCAAAGGGACAGAAACAGACAACTGTTCACAGGAGGCTGGGGAGAGGGTTTGACCATAAAGAGGAAACATGAGGGGATTTTTTCAGGGAAAAGAATCGCTACATGTCCTGAGTGTGGTGGTAGACACATGAATCTATATATGTGTAAAAACTCATAGAAATATACACCCCCAAAAGTTATTTTATGCTATGTTAATGTAGAATTTTAAAAGATGAAAATAAAACCAAATAAAGTTATTTTTTAAAATGCCTTACAAGATATTTTTCCATTTGGGTTTCTGTCAGAAAAGTTGCTTTGTGGGAGCTCTGCCACATAAACTCTGGTGTTCTGTGGACCTGTTCTTCTATCTGTAAAACAGAGAATCTGTCCAGAACAGTGATTTTACTTCTCCTCCCTCAGCTCCCCCAGATTGCACCCCTGGGCACACCCTTTGTGCAAGGAGGACCAGATAGGTTTGGAGAGTAAAGGCATTTGGCCTCCTGGGCCATGGACCCACAGTTCTGCATCCAGCTGAGCAGCTATGCTTTTGTTTGCTTCCTGTTTATTTGAATACCTCTGGATTAGAACAGTTGGTCTTAAACCAAATCCTTAGGCACTATGGGGGTTTGAACAATCCTTGATTCAAGACACTAATGGTAGAACCCACTATTTGTCCCTTTGACATGTGCCCTGTGGATCCCAGTAGTCAGCCAGATTGGGGCACTGGTTCTAATTGTTGGTGATTCCAAACAAGGCCTTGTGGAAGAAGTGTGGAATTGTGCTATTTGCTTCAGGACCCCTAGGTCACACCTGAATTAAACACAATGGAAACTCTGAAAAGGCTTGTGGGTCCAGGCCTTCTCTTAGTTATGGTCTGAAAGGACTTAAACCATCTTCCTCCCCACCCCCCGAAACAGGGTGACTCTTTGAAAATAAAGGGCTGTGCTCATGAGGATGAGTCTGCTGACCTAGGATCAGCAGAGCCACAGTGTATATCACTTCTGATGAGAGCTGCTGTTTACATTAAGCACACACCATATGCAAGGTACTATGCTAAGAAATTGCTGAAATCTTCATGGAACTCTGTGAGAAAAGGGCTTGATAGCCCTTGGACAGGTGAAGAGGCTCCAGGTCACATGAAGGTGAAGTGACTGACTTGAGTCCTGGTCCATTCTCCAATTTTCCAACTTAAAGCCCGTGAGAGGAACCATGAAGACCTAAAGTCAGGTCTACTTTCCTCATGTGCCTTGGAGAAAGGGACCAACACCACCTGTCATCTAAGATTTTTGGGGATCTATTTTTTTTTTTTTTTTTTCAGTTTTTGGCCCGGGCTGGGCTTGAACCCGCCACCTCTGGCATATGGGGCCAGTGCCCTACTCCTTTGAGCCACAGGAGTCGCCCAGATTTCTGGGGATAATTGAGCACCCTTTGAGATCTTATTGTGTACAATAGCACTTAAAAAGTTTTAATGTTTTTTATAGTGGAAAGCTTCCTTTGAAAACTATTATATGCATAAATCCAATCTAGAAAACCAGAGTTGGGCCACTGTGGTGAAGGTAAAAAGCAAGGGACCCTCCTGAACTCCCAGAGCATAGCTTGAAGGCCACTTATCCAGTAGATTGGCACTTACTATGAGAAGCGCAGGGAGTGCCATGATGCTTAAGGCTCTGACTTTGGGTATGAAAGAATGAGGTAGGATTATGACAGACTCATTCCTAGATTAATTGATATCCCAGGCCAGTGACGTGCACTGAGTACTGGTCTCTTTTTCCTGGGTACCACCTGTCTCATCCTAGCTCTTGGCCAGTAGCCATGGCCTGCCACTCAAAGGATAGAAAATTTATTTTCACCATCTCACAATTAGTGAGTTTAATCTTTAAAGATATACATATTATAAGGTTAAAGGCTATAGCAATTCTTTTTCCTGCTTTCATGAAAGGCATCATCTGCTTTTTTCTGTATCAACCAAAGTAGGATGTTCAAGTTCAGTTCTTGGTATATGACCAACAGACCTGCACCTCTGTCCCCAATACAAAAGATGGCAAGACAGCTCACAGTGGAATCATCAAATGGACTTCCTTCTCATAGATGTCAGGGATCATTCCCACTGGGGAGCTGACCATGTGCACAGTGTTCCTGCCAAACAGCTGGAACTCATAGTGGATGAGCTGTTCCCAAAAGCCACTGTTGGGCCGGATGATAGGCCGGCATGACTTGGTCCATGTGTGGGCATCCAGCAGGGACATGGCATGGTACTTCATGAGGTAGGCAAGGCACAGGGCAGCTGAGCGGCTCACACCAGCAGCACAGTGCAGCAGCGTGCGGCCTTGCTTCATCTCCACACTGTGAATGTGGTCAGCAATAGGGTCAAAGAAATCACAGAGACGTGAGATGGGTGTGTCAGTTACAGGCACTTGCACATACTGGACATCGTCATATAAGGTGTTCACCACTTCCACAGAGACATTGATGACTGTGGTGATCTGGTTGCTGGATAGCAGGAGTTTGTTGTTGGCAGCCACACCATTGCTGATATATAGGCTCCTGGTAATCTGTGAGAGGCCGCTGACTGAGGGCTGCGGGAACTGAATTGGGAGGGCACACGGGGGCGCTGTCATCAAGGCAGTGGGTCAGCAGCCAGCAAGGCATGAGGGGTGCGTTTCTAGTAGGCTGTAGCCACGAAAAACTGCAGGGAAGAAGGATGTTTAGAGGGCAGGAATCCAGCAGGTCAACACCCAGGGATTTCTGGGAAATGAATGGATGAGCTGGTAAGATTCCCCAAGGTAGTCCTCTGACCATCACAGCAGAATTATTCAGAGAATGTATTAAAAATACAGATACCGGCTCGGCGCCAGCCACATACACCTAATGTGGCGGGTTCGAATCCCCAGCCCGGGCCCGCCAAACAACAATGATGGCTGCAACCAAAAAATGGCCGGCGCTGTGGCGGGTGCCTGTGGTCCCAGCTACTTGGGAGGCGGAGGCAGGAGACTCGCTTGAGCCCAGGAGTTGGAGGTTGCTGTGAGCTGTGATGCCATGGCATTCTGCCCAGGGGGATAGCTTGAGGCTCCGTCTCAAAAAAAAAAAAAAAAAAATACAGATACCCAGGCCCCTCCCCAAACCCAGTGAGCCAGAATCCCAGAGTAAGGAGCAAGATCTACCTTTTCAAAATGCTTCAGAGGTAGTCTAATGTGCACTGCTCAATAGGACAAAGGGCAAGTCCCCGAGCCTGGCACTCAAGGTTTCCCTTGAGGGGCCCCACATTTTTAGGTGGGCAAGTGCCTTGGGTCCCTCAGCTGTGTCCTGTCCTGATTTTTTATGTAGGCTTACACAGACCTCTTTTCCCCTCTCTTCCAAATTTTCTCTTTCCTTTCAGCCCCTCTGACTGGGAACCACTTGCACAATATTCCTCTGCAATCTTCTGATTTTGTGCTGAAATCATGAGCCAGTGACATGGAACCCTGAGCCCTCTGTCACTGGATTCCAAGTCTCTTCCTCTAAGAACCATCTCTTTGAAGAGACAAGGATGTGCCCATGTGAAACTGATGTCAAGTAACAAAGTCCTAGACGGCAGCAATGGCAATCCCAGCACTCTGGGAAGCTGAGGTGGTGGATAGCCTGAGCTCACAGGTTTGAGACCAGCCTGAGCAAAAGCGAGACCCTGTCTCTAAAAAAATAGCCAGATGTTGTTGTGGGCGCCTGTAGTCCCAGCTACTCGGGAGGCTGAGACGAGAGACTCGCTTGAGCCCAAGAGTTTGAGGTTGCTGTGAGCTATGACTTCACAGCACTCAACAGAAGGTGACAAAGTGAAACTCTGTCTCAAAAAAACCCAACAAAAACAAAAAAACAAAGTCCTGGATCACCAAACATGCTCTTGCACCTTGTCTCTGAAAAGGGCCTTGGGAAGGGGGTGGTGAGAGTTTCATAGTGAGCCCAAGAGCAAGTACAAAGAGGTAGCAGGATCTCATGAAGACTATAGCCACACAAGTACCATACTCCCTGCATCAGGCCTATGGCATATACCCCAGGAAGGGATAGACCTTTGGCTTCTAAGAAATCAAGGCCCCTTACTTTCCCAGTCTTAAACAAAGCTTCAAAAAGAGCACATCTTTGTACATCTCACTGAAATAAGAGCATTTGGGTTTAGATCATACCTCTAAAGGCCAAATGGAAGTCTGCACCAGGCATAGACGAATAAGGTGCCACGGTCGTTGTTTTTGTG